TGTGAGGTGGATTGATTCAGTGACTGGGATAATCGGGATGGGAGTGTCAGAGACAGTGCGATTGGCACAGGACAGAGCAGAGTTTAGGGCTGTTGGACATAGGGTCACTATGAGTCACAAGCGACTCGATGGCACATAATAATAACAATGTTGACTAGAGTAACAGGATGTTGTTTACTGTTTACTTGCCTGCCCTTCCTGCTGTTTACAAGACTACATTCATATCAGCAGAGGTAAATCCCCAGGAGAACTGTACATACACACATATTCACAACACAGACTGTTCTGATTTTAGGTCAACAGCTGGCATTCACCCATTAATCTGTTCCAGGAATTCAATCTCCTGTCCAGCGGCTGCAGGCGAAGGAACAGTGCTACAAGCTCTTTTCGTGAAACATGGAAGATTTTATTGTCCTTGAAGAGCGCAGATAGAGATCATGAAACTCTCATTGGCCAGGTTTCCTGAAAGTAAAATGTCCTCTCTTTGCACCGGATTAGAAGGTGGGTCTCATTTCTCTTGGCTCATTTGTCCATACATTATGATTGGTTCGTTAAAACTTTTGGACAATGGGGCTATCAATCAGTTACGTACACAGGGAGAAAGGTCACAGGTCAGTTAAGATTCCCTCATTAGGTTACTGGGTAGCCCACCGCCAACTGCTGGACCGGTTTTTTCTGTTATTTATTGCTGAATTTATTCTCCCTTATATGGTGAGAGTTGTTCACCTGCCTCAGCTCCTACAAGGCGGGGGTAGGGTGGGGGGGGAGGGGTAGGGGGTGTCGAATCTTCTAAAAAGGTTTCCTGTTCTGGTTTAGCTAGTGTCTTATTGGGCCCGGGCCTGCCTAAATTAGGTTTCCTGCTGTTGTTTACTTTTTGTTTTCTTGGGCCTGGATCTGCCTCTCCCGTATCTTTGTTCTCTTAAACAAATGAACACTTACTTAGCTGTGTTTTCCTGGTTCTTCCACCATGTGCACTTAATAATTGAGTTTTCTCCTTAAGAGAGCTTTCTCTGATTACATTCTCTCGATCCAAAAAACCTTTGGTTTCCTTAGCTTAACCCTTACAAATTGGAATATAAAGGAAGATGCCAAAAAACTGTGACAAAGGTGAGAGAGAAGAATGGAGAGAAAGAGGGATAGTTAAGAAATGTCAGTCGTCCTGACATCCATTCTATTCTTTATTCTCTTTTTTTAAAAATTTTAATTGGGGGGTGGGGGTGGGTGTGTGCACCGTCAAATCGGATCTGACTGTTACAGGAGGAGATTGGCCCTCCTTCTCCAGCAGAGCAGGGGGTGGATTCGAACCGCCTACCTCTTGCCCAGAAAGCAGTGACACTCCCCTTTGACATCCAGCTGGAGAACAAAACCTGTTCTTCCAGCGCGAGGCTCTGGATAAGGAGACACCCAGGGATGAAGCAGGGAAGGAATACTGAGACATACAGCCTCTGGGTGCTGTATGCTGTAGGAAGCATGATTCAGAAAGAGAACTCAGCAAAAACAGGAGTGAGCTGGGACTCGTAAAAGACCATTCAGGATCAACAGCCTTATTAAAAAGAGTGAGAAATTGGTGCCTAAGAGGACTCAGACCTATCAGAATATGAAGAGGGACTCTTGTACACACGGAGCCCATCAGATTAGTTAGAGGGGTAATTGCTTTTCCAGTAGACTTGATTCCTTGTTGTTGT